CTAGAAAGAATCATTGTTCTTCCTCCTTCATGATTGACTGTGTACTATCAATAATAATATGATTTACCTTTCTTCTTCATTTTTGTTTGTTTTATTATTTCATTTGATTTGGTGTTTCATTCACGAAAGCTTTGATGCCAATTTTATTCTATTGTGAATCGAAATAATAACTGATTTTTGCACTCACAATAACATGTTGACTTACAAACATATTTTGAAATATTATTTAAACATTGCTCTTAAAATCATTAGAGATCAATTTATATCTTAATTCTCATATCGTAATTCATATCATGCAAACCCGTATATATAAATAAGTGGAAAAAATATTCTTCTCCGTTATGAATATATATTAATTATGTGACAAAATCATAAACAAAAATTCAAATATTATAGAGTTAAATCTAAAAAAAAAATCATGTGAATAATCTATAAAAACCTATATAATATTTTATAAATAGTTTTATCAAGCATTACATATAAATCCATTATTGATAAATATATACAATTGATGTCATTGGCTTATTTCGCATAGAAATCTATATTCTTTAAACCTTAAACACTCTTGAATTTTAATAGCAAATATATTATTATTATTTTTAACCTGTATAAATTTTTATTTTATACAATTTAACATTGAAAAGTACAAATACCGTCATAGGTAGAAGTTTTTTATTTTTTGTGATATTTCATAACTATGTTGACAAAATAAATATGCCTATAGATCTTTTGTTTCTTTGGTATGGTTGCGCATATATTTTTTATTTTTATTTTTGTCAACAATCATTTTATTAAAATAAATCGCGTCCATTGGTTACCCAATTTGGAGGTGTATTACATACAAAATTCAATCATCCTCGAATCAGGGCATACAACAGCCTTACTATTAAGAATATTATACATATCTTAAACTTTTAAATTGAGATTTCCATAGCCAATCTAATTTTTTGTTTTTCAGTATATATAATTATCTTTTTCTATCATTCACATTTTATTTTTCTTAATTGAAATTTTTATTTTCTCTACACTTCTTATTTTTTACGGTTTACACTCTTTCTATTTTTTTCTTAATTTATTTTATAATTAGTTTAAACTGTTAGATTTTATTTTATCTAGTTACTAGAAATTTTCTTTTTTGTAATTAGTTTGACAATAATTTTGTCCATTTTCTATTTTCATTTTTTATTTTTCTTAAAAAATATTAAGTGTTAACACATGTCATCATCTGATTGATATTAACCATATTAATTTTTCTTACGTATCATGATCTCATCGCTCACATCTTCTTT